GGGGTGAAGTCTTTCCAACGAGATCTCTGGCGAGATCTGCGATCTGACCTCGCGTTGGCTCGCGTCGGTTCTTCGACGATCTAATCTCGCGCCTGACGTCCTTGACCCAGGAAGCGGAAAGGTCGAGGCGGAGTCAAGGTGATGCGCATGCAACGTCTCCTGCGAGGATCGATTCGCAGGTTCGAAGCAAGGTTAGATCCATTTCGACTTTCCATTTTGCGTGACCGACAACCGCTCGAAAATGAAAATGGCGGCGGGGATTTGCAATGCCTTTTCTCCGATCGTGATGTTTTTCTCTTTTCTCTTTTTTTTTTTTTTTTTTTTTTGATCGTGATCAAAGGAAGCTTCGAATAGGGGTTGCGCAATATTCGCGATAATGTCGGGAGTAACGATACTCCTCCCTTGCACGCGACGTCCTTTCGAGAGTGGAGAGGAATTTTTTGAATAACGTGGTAACTGAACTTTGAATTCTAACCTCCAACTAGTCTAATTAATGACCGTTGCATATCTGTTCTTTATTAACGATTATACCCTTTTAATTATTTATGTCTTCGGCCTCGTTTCTCTCTTGTTTCGTATACTTTGAGGATACATTTTTTCTTAATATTCTCTTTTTACTAAACATATTTGTTTGAACTCGCTTTCTAAATTTCCGAAAGATGTATTAAAATAAATTTCTTCTCCACCTCTTGCATATATTCTTATGGACAATATTTGGTCACTTTTAATTTCCACGCAACTGTGTTTCAAATTTTGGTCTCTATGGAGGCTATCTCTTGTTTCGTATACTTTGAGGATACATTTTTTCTTAATATTCTCTTTTTATTAAACATATTTGTTTGAACTCGCTTTCTAAATTTCCGAAAGATGTATTAAAATAAATTTCTTCTCCACCTCTTGCATATATTCTTATGGACAATATTTGGTCACTTTTAATATATAACTGTGTTCCATTTTGATCTGTGTGGAGGCTATCCGCGTTGCTTTTTCGAGCGCAAATGGGCGGAGAGGATTCAACCATCGGGATTAGATTACAATGGGAAACGCATCGAGAATGCAACTCGCGGAATTTCTGCGCGGGGAATTTCCCGTTGAATTTCGTGTCGCGGCAGAAGAATAACAAATGATATGATTATAATAAAATTTGGAAAGAAAAATATTTCGTAAGGCCTCGTGAAAAGACGTAAAATAATATTCAGGGGAAAAGATTATCTGATCGAGCTATACGAAACGTTCCACTCTCTTCCTATTCTTCATCCTTTATCGTTGAAAAAAGTGACGAAGTTAGAAGATAACGAAAGAGCGAGTCGTATTTCAAGGCACGGATCGTCTAAGAAGATAACGAAATTGCAAATATTTTACAAACTCGACGAGACTCGCGAAAAAAGCAAGTTGATTTCCTCTGACTGGCATTCTCGTCTTGGACAAATTGCGACGTGATTCAAATACTACCTCTCTCTTCCTTTCCTTCTGACCGGATCTTTTCGAAGGAACTTTAAAAAAAATAAATGAATAAATAGGAAATTTTTTCATTCACGGAAGAGGAAGACGGAAGGAAGAGAGGAAAGGAAAATAAATTCTCTCCTCTTTTTCCCCAATTTTCTAAAAAATTTTTCCCTCGAAATAAAAAAAAGACACAAAGGGTGGAACGGTAACGTGATTTCGATCGGCTCGTATCTCGCGGATTTTTTAAACGGAGAAAAAATAGGGGTTGACGTGAAATTAACGGGGACAATGGAACGGGAGCATCAGGACATCGCGACAACTCGTCAACCCTCCCTCTAAAATATATATTTTACAATCGGCCGCTAAAACGTCCGCCCTCCATTGCCGACAATTTTTCAATTAATCTATCGACCTGGTGTCACCCTTACCATTTCTTCTTTTTTTTCGTATCGAAAGATAAAAACTCGTTCACCCTTTTTCCATCTCGATCGATTTTCGGGGGCCGACGTTTTTTTCGTTCGAAAATTCGAAAAAATAGGAAGTGAAATAAAATCCTCCAATTTTTCCTTTCTTCTTTTTGCAACAATTTCTACGAACGATCAACGAGGATCATTCCTTCTTTCCACGATTTTTCCACGCATGGGGGAAGCATATCTCGAAAAGAAAAAGAATTTATGGAGGTAAGCGTGGTTCTTGCCAGGGATGGCGAGTCGAAGGTGGTGGATGGAACGTTTCCATTCCGGTCAGACTCGTATTCTCTGTCGTTGTTGCGGCGAGATCGATCCTTGGCTGGACAAATTCGCCTCGTGGAGAGAGTCTTTTCTCCTCGAAGGGAGGGGGAAAATGAAATTTAAGTATCGAGCGACGACGACGACGACGACTCCTCGTTGATATTTTACAGCAAGCCGGTATACACCCGACCCGAGAGAGGATTAAGTCCACCTGAACGGAATTATCCAGCGAGGAAATTCAGCTTAAATACAGTTTATCCTATCCCCGATGAAGCGAGATAATAATCCCGGGGAAAAAATTTCACAGAGATATAGCGTTTCGATTTTCACTTTTTTTTTTTCCTTACGATAAATAATGCAATAAATAAAATATATACTCTGGAAACAAGGTATTCCAAAGAAGGAGAGAAAGAAAACGTATTACTTATGAATAAATTTTACAATTATTAATGAAAGATATCTTTATCCTCCTTCGTGATGGAAAAGGAGAAAAAGAAAAAGGAGGAGATTCATTAAGAGGAAGAGCAATTTAAACGAATTTAGCAAATTATTATTCCTGGTACCGATCCAATACTGTGTCTGAAACGGGGAGTGACATTTCATTCGGCGGCCACGATCGTTCGTCACGATGGCCAGGATTTCCAGCAGGAGGACGAAGGCGGACGGATCGTGAAAAGCTCGAACGACGTCGTTAAATGGCCTCCATCATCGTTTCTCGTAGAGATAACGAGTATCTTCCGCGAAAGATCCGCGGAAGGATTTTTAGATCCGGTCTGGAGAGGAAACTCTGTTCCTCTTATTTTTTTTTTTTTTTCCCCTTTTTCTTTTTCGGTTCGTCGGTTATTATCGGTCGGTCGCGCGTTGAAATCGAGGCTGATCTTTCGAGCAAGTGAGAATTTAAGGATGGAGTTAGGAATCCAATTTCTGAGATGTTATTCGCTTTTTCGAGATTTATCGGCGTTAAACGGGATTAAGTTAATCTCGTCGATCGATGTATCCATCTATCGAAGGGAAGAAAGTTTCGAAAGATACGATCTGTTGGTGGTCAAATTCATCAAAATTCATGAATGAAAAAGAGAAATCGATACTCTCGATTTCTTTCGAAAGAATTTTCCTTTTGTTATCCTCTCGGTGTTGAACTGTTAATAAAGTTGAGGGTAAAAGTTCAATTGGAATGAAATTCTCCTTTTTCTTCTCTTATCGTGTAAAGTAGCGTCGAAATCCAACGTGGACGTGGCGTTACAGAAATTATTATTATATTCTTCCAATGTTTCTTCTCCTGATCGATAATTAAAGCCAATTCGACGGAGGACGTCCTGCTTTCCCTCTCTTTCTTCCCTGCAACGAGAAAATCCCTCTCCAATTTTGCAGAATTTCTTTTCCAAATAATTGCAAAAATTATCTCTTCTTCGTCAGTATAAAATAGAAAATGCAAACAAACGTAACGTACAAATTCTGAAACAGGCGTTTCTCAATCTCCCTTTTCCTCGTATTGTTCTCGTGCCGTATTCAAATATTTTTCCATTCCCTTTGAAAAAGAAAGGAAGAAAGAAATCGTAGGAAACAAAGGAGGGAAGGAAAACAAAAGGAGAGTGATTGTGCGTGGACAAAGGAATACATACTTGCTATATACAGAAACGATTCTGTTTTTTCTTCTTCCTTTTCCTTTGGCTGTTTTTAGATCCAACGCCGATAATCGGATGTTGGAAAACTCGAGGAGAGAGGAAACACCGTGAAGAGCAGGGGTTGGATCGGAAGTTGTGGCCACGGTTTATATAGTTCAAGGATGGCTGTCCGTATTCCAGGATGAAGGAATCGGTGTAATTGATGGGCTCGCGTCACGCCAACCGCGATAATACCCGTCACGTGACCGGGTCGAGTTCTCCTTGGCGCCTAACTTGCCGCTTCTACCCTCGCCTGGAAGATGGATTTCCGGTTTGTCACGCGACTTACGTCGAGGGTGCCTCGTAAAGAGGTAAAATAGATCAAGAAGTTTGGCGAGGGTACAATTAATTTTTACCTTTCACAGGTGCTGTTTCCAGCGATTTTATTTCGAAAGTGGTTTTATTAACTGTGTATAATTTTTAATAAATAATGACGATGAAAAATTCGATTGAAAACGATTGGATATATGGCTCGTTTTTTGGGGATTCATAAATTGCTTCTTACGCAAGCCATTAACAATTCTGCTTCTGCTTCACTAATTTTTGAGACAGTTCGTTATTTGTATATATCGTTACAACAATTAATAAATTCTATAATAATAGCAATTTCGATATAGATATATTTATTAAAAATAGACTTCTTTAGATTCTTTTTAGAATCGACGATAAATTCGGAATCGTGAAATATAAAAATAATTCTTCCTTTAATAAAATATGCAACGATAGAAGAGTAATGATTCCTATATATCGATATATTTATTAAAAATAGATTCTTTTTAGAATCAGATCCACGATAAATTCGGAATCGTGAAATATAAAATAATGTAAAATACAAGTTGGCTTCTCCAATTTACTCGAGATGCACGAAAAGTAATCCTTCCTGCATAATCATTCTATTAAAATGTGCATAATGTTATAGAACAAGAGTCGTGGCATATGAGGTTTTGGGAAATTTCAAAGAAGCATTTTGGAGGCTAATTAGCAACAGAGACACACGGTTCATGAAAGATTGAGCTGGATTTCGGGTGGATCGTCCGATCGAGGGACATTAAAGGGGGTCGATGAATATTTGAACGCCTTGTTGAAAGCTTGGAAAAGACGTTCGGGAAACTTGCACGATGCCCGATAGAAACAGCTCGTGACGATCCCACGCGAATAGCCAAGAATCGTCAGCGAATCCGTTGAAACGCAGCCGAAACCCTTTCTCCTTCGAAACTTGGAATGGAAACCATCTTTTAGGGCACCCTTTCAACTTTCGTACGTCAAACCTTCGTTCCAGACTTTGAAAACTAACTGGAAAATTGTGCGTGTTAAACATTTTTTAAACTACCAAAAATTCAATCGCCAAGATGGAAACGTTGAAAACTGATCGAAGATTAAGGGAAGGAAAAGTAAAAAAGTAAGAAGAATCGCGTAGAAAAACTTATTATTGCAAATCTTCATTACGAAATAGAAGAAAGAAGAAAGAATGACGAAAAAATTAAGAAGAAGAAGCGAAAGAGGAAAGGGTGGAGGAGGGGTAGAGAAGCCAACAGGAATTGGTAGGGCTAGTACTTTAAAAACTAACTAGAAAGTTGTTAAAGCGTGTTAAACTTTTTTTTAAACTCTCAAAAATTCAATCACCAAAATAAAAATATTGAAAATTGATCGATTAAAGATTAAGAGAAGGAAAAGTAAAAAAGAAGAATCACGTAGAAAAACTTACTATTGCAAATCTACGAAATAGAGGAAAGAATAATGAAAAAATTAAGAACGAAGGGAGAAGCGAAAGAGTGAAGGGTGAAGAAGGGGTAGAGAAGCCATAAATTGGTAGGGCTAGACTTTAAAAACTAAAAAAACTGGAAAGTTGTGCTTATTAAACATTTTTTAATTTTAAAAAATAATTTAAAAAAATTTAAATTTTTTAAACTTTCAAAAATTCAATCACCAAGATGGAAACCTTGAAAACTGATCAATCCAAGATTAAGAGAAGGAAAAATAAAAAAGTAAGAAGAATCGCGTAGAAAAACTTACTATTGCAAATACGAAATAGAAGAAAGAATGACGAAAAAATTAAGAACGAAGGGGGAAGCAAAAGAGTGGAGGAGGAAGGGTGTAGGAGTAGAGAAGCCAGCAGGAACTGGTAGGGCTAGACAAAAGGGAGCCCAAGTCTATTTCCCGCTGGTTGAAAGTGTTCCCGTTGGTGGTAACGCGGAGGAAACGGGGTGCAACCTATTGTCAACCCTCTGCCGGCCTTTCCAACAATGCCACCCACCCGTGTCAGTGGCGCTTTTCATCGTAAACGGCGTAAACGGCATATCGGTGACGCGAAACACCCATCTTCGCGCGCCCCTAGATGAGAGAGGAAGACACCCTTCCCCTCCTCCTCCACCGGATACCATCTCTTCTTCGGCTTCCTTCCTATCCTCCCGAAGAAAGAGGGAAGGGAGGATGACAAATCGATGGTTGTTCTGGCCAGATTTTCTTGGCGGGATCGTTTTTTAACGTGGCGCATTGTGACTCGTGGCCTATTCCTTTCGACGAATCTCTTCTTCCGCACGAAGGCTCTCCTCGAAGGAGAAGAGATAATTTATATTTATATAAAGTACAAGCTTTTCGTAAAGTGGAACGATTGAAAACAGTTTCAAGGGAAAATTTTATTTATTCTTCACAATTTTAAAATTAACGCGTTGCTATAATAAATTTTTAGAAAAAGAAGAAAAGAAAGAAAAGAAATCTCTCCCTCCGCACGGCACTCCTCGAAGGAGAAGAGATAACTTATACAAAGTACAAGTTTTTCGTAAACTGGAACGATTTCAAGAGAGAATGATTCTTCACAATTTTAAAATTAACGCGTTCCTATAATAAATTTTTAGAAAAAGAAGAAAAGAAAGAAAAGAAATCTCTCCCTCCACACGGCTCTCCTCGAAAGAGAAGAGATAACTTATACAAAGTACAAGCTTTTCGTAAAGTGGAACGATTGAAAACAGTTTTAAGAGAGAATGATTCTTCACAATTTTAAAATTAACGCGTTCCTATAATAAATTTTTAGAAAAAGAAGAAAAGAAAGAAAAGAAATCTCTTCCTCCACACGGCTCTCCTCGAGAGAGAAGAGATAACTTATACAAAGTACAAGTTTTTCGTAAACTGGAACGATTGAAAACAGTTTTAAGAGAGAATGATTCTTCACAATTTTAAAATTAACGCGTTCCTATAATAAATTTTTAGAAAAAGAAGAAAAGACGAACGATTGTAACACGATTGGTTAGTTAAATCTGTGAAATTGATCGATTTAAATCGAGGCAAATAATTGCCCTCCTCTTCCTTCCTTGCCCCGAATTTTAATCTTCGCGCGACGTCACAACGAAGGGGGGCAGATTTACACGTCCATCGGGCTACAATTCACCCCCTATTAATCGGCCTGACATTTATACGAATATTTAACGGGTGCTCCTGTTCCGTTGGAAGGATCGAGCGCACGCTCCAAGCCGCTCCATTATTCCGCTCCCGTTGGACGGTCGACAAACAATTTTTGGAGGGCGGCCTCGATTCGACGAAAGAACGAACGAATTCCTCGTCGTAAATCAACCACGAGCTCGCGTGCCAACTCGCCCTTCGCGATGCTCCCCGGTTATTAAAGCGGCGCTCGAGCCATCCGGGATGCGCATACGCCTGGGCGATAAGCCGAGGCCTTAGCCCAGTTCAGCCCCCTCTCTTCCATAGCCATCGCGTGGGTGGACGATTTTATCACCCGATAAAGACATCGCGCCGACGAACTTCCCCTCCTTCCCTCCTGTATTCGTAACTCTACCCTCCTCGAGAATTATCCTACGATAAATACGATAATTTTCCTAAGAAAGATCCATTTGTAGACTCACTTTGTAATTGGTTTCGAGTTGTTGAAGACTACTTTACTTTTCCTCGAATGGAAAACTTTCTCTCGGATTCTTTCTCCTTTTGGAACGAGAGAATCAATAGTAGAAGTGTTAGGATTAAACATTATTGATGAGAAATAGCGTGGAATTTTTTATTTATGTATTCAAAAACTTTCGGGTCTTTCAGGAGTGTCTTTTCTTTTTTTACAAGAGTTTAAGATAATTTTTCGAAAATAAAAATTCGTCTGAGAGATGTCCAGTCCCGTTTTCGAAAGGAGGAGGAATTCGTGGACGGAGCAAAGTGCAACGTTCCCTCTCCTCCTCGAATTTTTCTTCCCGGTTGGCCGGGAAATCGGTCGATTCCAGGTCACCGAATCGGTGGATGGAGATCACGGGGTGATTAAATTACGCAAAAGTTCCTTTGACCGGCCGTTCGAGCTGGCATCGGCCACGCGGAACCGTGACAAACTTCGTTTCCGCCCTCCAAAGATCAGTTTCACGGTCCAGCTGAGAGATGAAGGGGATTGAGAGGAGCAAAGGGAGGGAAAATAAACTGATGGATTAGAATCGGGGATAACAAGATTCTTGGGAGTGTTTCGATACCGTGTCTATAAAACTGTGACGTATTTTGAAAATAAAATTCAGAGGAGACGCTCTTGGAAATAATTTTGCAATAACGAATTATACGCGCGATTAATTTGCTTGAGAATTTGGAGAGAAATAGTAGTGAGTTTTCACCGCAAATTTCCACTCGCAAGAAACGCTCTCGAGAGTTTTATCCCTATCCTTGAGAAGAAATAAGGGGCCAGGGAGTTTGAGAGAAAAAGTAGATTGATGAGCGGGGGGAGAGGAGGAAACAAAGTTGGTCGGATCAGAGCGAGAAAGTTCGAGATGGAAGAAGTGGAAGGAGGATGTAAGAAGTACGAATGGACGATTGTGACGCGCAATGGTGGATGTAATTGCTTTCCAATTATAATTAGATGATGTACTACGACATTTCAGAACCCTTCCTCTTCTTCCTCTTCGTCTCTTACGAACTCTCTCTCTCTCTCTTTTCCTTCGATGTACAAAAATCGAAAAATTTACAGGGAAGAGAATAAGACGCGCAAAGTCGAATTTCCAAGTGCAAAATGAAGCATTGAAGAAATGGAAGAACGGAGGATATGGAAAAAAGAAAAAGGAAAATGGAAAGACGCGAGTGAGTTCCAAAGGGGAGAATGAAGAAAAAGAAGAAATAAAGGAACGTTAATGGCGGGAGGAGAAAGCAAAGCGAAATACGACATGGAGTGAAAACAGGGAAAAAAAAGAAACGATATAGGGGAAAAAGGGCAAAGAGCGTTTTAGGTCAGTGAGTATACATGAAAATTCGTACGTGCAAACAAGAAATTCAAAACTCGCGCAAAAGAATCATCGATTAATAGAACGAGTCAGCGTTGTAAAATTGCGATCGATATCCGCAAAAGGAGAGAGGATCATTTGTCTCTCAATTTTTCCTTTTCCATCCGCTTGATACACAGCATCCTTTCGTGTTCTTTCGCCACCCAACATTTATGATTCTTCCCGATTTTTCTCGTGCGAGCTTAACCCCTCCTTAGCAATCCGGGGGTTGGGATAAGGGGTGGATAAATTTAATCTGGATATTTTACCAGTGAAGAAAAATCAACGATACGATCATTTTTGAAGTAAGCCATTATTATTGTAGAGAAAAGTCTGCAAGTCTGTTGGAAATTGAACTGTTCTTCTGTGAGTTTTGCATTACGTTCGTAAGCGTTTGTTTGAAGTAAATAGGGGATGGTATCGATATGTTTCTTCTTTTTCTTCTTTTTTTTTTTTGTGAAGGATAATTCAAAAGAAAGAGTTTCGAGTTAGTTATCGATAGATACTACTTGCCTGTATCAAATTTGTAACTTTTTTTGCGACTTTTTTATTTCATCTCGAGCAATATGGTTTTTCGATAGCGTGAAGGGTGATAATTGAAAAAGAAGAAGAGAAAAAAAAAAATATATCTGTAATCCCTTTGGATACAGAAAGAAAATAAATGGTCACCGATGAATCGAATTTCCGGTTGAAATCCTTCAATTCTAGATGAATGCACTTTCAGCTTGTTCATTCAATTCGTATCGAACAAAAAGCGTATTGAAAGTAAAGAGAGAAACGAGTATCATCGATCGTGATCTCTGTTTTTATCTTGGTTCAAGTGTCGGGATCGGAATTTTTCCTTTTTTTCTCTCTCTCTCTCTCTCGTTCGTAATTAATAATTCCAAAAAAACTGAAATATTTAATTAATTCGTTAACGTCGATCTTCTTTGCGTGTATGGTCCCACTGAAAAATAGAAATTAATTAAAAAACATGGATATATCATGGATCCGAATGTTACTTTCCAATTAAAAAAAGTTCAAAGTAAAACAATTTGACAGATAATAATAAATCGAAAGAAGAATAGATTTATTAACAATCGTTTCAACAGATTTATCTCGGTGGACGACAAAAATTACCGTATCCAATAAGACTGTACTCCAATAAAAATTCTCTCTCTCTCTCTCTCTCTCTCTTTCGAAGACGCATTGAAAAAAATTTCGACGATAAAGCAGATAAAGAAAAAAAAAAGGAATAAATACGAAAAAAAAAAGAACAAACAAAATAAAAATATACGCGTCTTCCACGCGATCCACTTACTCGGAAATGCATCGAGCATTCTTAAGTATCGATTCAACCGCGTCCCCTTTGAAGGCAACTTACACGCCTCGTTCCAGCCTAGGAGAGAAGACACGTTCGAACGCCATTACGAAATTATCGAATTTCGAATGTATCATCCCTCCTTCCTCTCCTTTTTTTTCTCTTTCGAAAGAAGTTTAGAAAGAAAATTACTACTACTCCTCCCCTCTCGAAATCCTCAGAGGCGTAGGAGAATTAAACCACGCGGACTGTCCAGCTATTCATTCGAATCGATCGATTCGACTGATGGTGGATACGGTGAATACAGGGACCGAGATGCGGTCGGCAACGTCCACCATGTTGGATGATCGGTCAATGCTATGGCAACTCGTCGTGTCACGGGTTTATACCGGTTCGTTGATCCGGGCGAATCGAGGGTACGGGTCAATGGGCGATCGAGTATCCCAAACAATTGGCCCAAAATCGGTCCATGGTGTGGTAAAGATGGGGGAAGACGTTTCCGAGGGCGTGCGCCTCGTCCGTGTACGTCTGCTGCTGGAACATTATGTCGCCGTTCACCAAAGCCTTGTTCAGCATCATGCTTTGTTGATAGTGCACGTTGTCGTCCGCGGTTCCGTGTATCAGCATGTACTTTTTCCCACGTATACCCTCCACCCGTCTGCTCACGTCCGTGTCGTTGTAACCCCTCTGATTGTCCTCAGGGGTGGGCAGACCCATGAACCGTTCCGTGTACAAGGAATCTGAGGAATTCAGAGTCATCTTTTTTTTTTATTTTTCCATAAAGAAGAAAAAGGAATTCAGAGTCATCTTTTTTTTTATTTTTCCATAAAGAAGAAAGAAGGTTCTTTTACAAGGGGATTGTGAAGATATTTTTAAGCCATGAACCGTTCCGTGTACAAGGAATCTGAGAAATTCAGAGATTCTTTTTTTATTTTTCCACAAAGAAGAAAGAAGAAATATCGAATTTAAATTCACGGTTCTTTTACAAGGGAATTATGAACTCATGAAGATATTTTTAAATCATGAACCGTTTCGTGTACAAGGAATCTGAGAATTCAGATTCTTTTTTTATTTTTCCACAAAGAAGAAAGAAGGTTCTTTTACAAGGGAATTGTGAAGATATTTTTAAATCATGAACCGTTTCGTGTACAAAGAATCTGAGGAATTCAGAGATCATTCTTTTTTTATTTTTCCACAGAGAAGAAAGAAGAAAGAAGAAATATCGAATCATCGAATTTAAATGGTTCTTTTGCAAAGGGAATTGTGAACTTGTGAAGATACTTTTAAGCCATGAACCGTGTATAAAGAATCTGAGAAATTCAGAGATCCTTGTTTTATTTTTCCACAGAGAAGAAAGAAAAAAGAAGAAATATTGAATTTATTATTAAATTCACGGTTCTTTTACAAGAGAATTGTGAAGATATTTTTAAGCCATGAATTGTTCCATGTACAAAGAATCTAGAAATTCAAAGAATTATCCTTTTTTTATTTTTCCACAGAAAAAAAGGAAGAAAGAAGAAATATCGAATCATCGAATTTAAATGATTCTTTTACAAAGGGAATTGTGAATTTGTGAAGATACTTTTAGGCCATGAACCGTGTACAAAGAATCTGAAAAATTCAGAGATCATTCTTTTTTTATTTTTCCACAGAGAGGAAAGAAGAAATATCGAATTTAGATTCACGGTTCTTTTACAAAGGGAAGATCTTTTACAAAGAATCTGAGAAATTCAGAGATCCTTTTTTTATCTTTCCACAGAGAAGAAAGAAGAAATATCGAATTTAGATTCACGGTTCTTTTACAAGGGGATTGTGACTCGTGAAGATATTTTTAACGTGTTAAACGGACTTTATGAGAACGTGAAATTACCGTAATAAATCCAGGAGGTCACAGGTGCGACTGATATACCACATTTGAACACCGATTCGGTGTCGGTGGCCAGCACCATGGCGGTGGAGAAACCGCCGTAACTCCAACCCCATATGCCCGTCCTGTTTGAATCGATCCACGAATACTTCTGCTGCAGGATTCTGAAACGTAAAATTCTCTATTAAAGTATTTATCCAAATAACAGATAAATATATAACTTCAACACCACCTCGTGATAACAATCTGATCCTCGATCTCCACGGTGCCGAGTCGTCGATAGATCTCGAATAGCATCTTGCTGCCTTTGTAAGCTGATCCACGCCCATCGATGCGCCCATAAATTACGCTCCTGTTGGTCACTATGTACGACTCGAACCCGTACGTCGCCTCCTCTGTAATCCTAACAGTGTTCGGGCCTGCGTATCTGCGAATAGAAAACGTGGAAAAGAAAAGAAGATAAATTTAAAAAAAAAAATTCAATTTGAAAACGACGAAATCCTTCACTATATAAAAAATAATCTATTCGAACACTTACACGTTGATCAACAGGGGATACTTTTTCTTCTCATCAAAATCGGGCGGCAGATAAAGTTTAACCTTGTTCGTGTACCCGTTCGCGTTCACGTTAAAATTCTTGATCACAGGTTGCGTTCGACCTGCCACCTTCCGTCTCAGCGATCGATTTTCCTCCCAAATGAAGATCTGCCTGTGGTTCGCGTTCATGATAGTGATGAAGACCGGGTCGGGGCCGGCGCAATGCAACGCGTAATGAGAAGCGTTGATGGAGAAGTAGGCGTAGGCGTAGGTGCAATGATTCCCTGTAATTTGTTTTTTCCATAATTCGAGCAAAATATGAACAAAGATCGTTCTCATCTTGAAAAGCGAAAATAATCCCCTTACCCTCGGGGGTGAGAATCTCGCACGACAAGCAAACGGGCGGCTCGTTGCCCTCCAATTGCACGGAGTAGAGGTTTTTGTGGGAAGGTTTGGCCAGCTCCGTGCCTAAATAATAGAGCCTATTTCTGGCGTGGTCGACGAGCAACAGGGATACGACCTCGTTCGTTCCTGGCGTCAAATCCGTCTCGTCGACTAGGAGACCGTTCCTGTACTCGAACCTGGTCGCGTGCTGAAACCGTCCGGCCTTCGTTCCCGAGTCTTGAAGCTTCACAATGATCACATATTGGTTGTGATAGAGGGGCGATTGGATACGAAGCCAACCCTCGGTCTCCTCCTCGTAATAAATATTATTAGCGTTACCCTTCGTGTCGTAGAGCACTAATTGGGCCTTGTTCTGCACCCTGTTCGTCCACGTTGCAACAATTTCGCCGTCCCTCCTCCAGTTCGCGGTATAAAGAACGTTATCTCTGCCGGGGAGGGGGGAAGGGAACGATAGAGAGTATCGATTTAGAAATATATCACGAAATTTTTAATAAGACTCGTCCATTCTATTAATAACCGAATTAATAAAATAAAATTCTGTATCATCGAAAAATTGATAATATGAAATTTATCGTTTTAAGAGGAATCGTATCAGACTTTTGTAATTGCGAGTTAATAATCTTGAAAGGGAGGAAACGGAAGTGGATGGAATCGTGTAACGAATCAAACGAGTTGTTCCCTCAACGCTTTGCTCTCGATTTTTGTGATATACTCACGCTCCAACGACATCGATAGGCGGCCGAAGATCGATCAATTTCGAGGAGGGATTGTGCAAGTCGATCACGCTCAGGGACACGAATGGGTTCGTAGTACCCGCCTAGAATTCGAAGAAGAAAAAAATAAAATAAATACACACTTATATGTATCGTACAATATCGAAACAAATTCTGTCAAAGAATTTGGCCTATATCTTTTCGAATATTTTCC